CTATTCGAGAATTAAAATCATCCGAAAAGTTTATATGCGCTGAAGCCGCGCGTCTATAAAATAAATCTTTAAAAACAAGGCAGACATTGAGCCAGCGTGTGCGATAAACGCGCCAAAATTGGCAGCGCGTTCACTCCCTCGCCAAGAGAGAAAAGTTGGTGATTCAGCCTGGTTTAGAGGAGCCTTACCCTAAACCAGATTCTGTGATGTAGCAGAGACTGGTTGCCTTGGCAACGGAGCTCAGCTTTAACCACTTATGCCCTTTACCAAGGCCAACTAGATATCTAGTTGGCCTTGATTGCCGCCCCCCGCTAGATTACAGTGCTCCGTAAATTTGACTATTACGATTTTTAGAAACCAACTATTTATATTTACCGGGTTCATTAATATAATTATGGTAACTCATATGTTATTGTTATCTTCATGATACCTTTTTGCTTGCTGCTTTACCATGTTTTGATTGTTAATATTTATTTATGAATTCTTTCCTTGCTCTGATAATTCATTCATTTATAAATAATGTAAAAATGAATATATTAAATCATATTTACATAGAGTGCTCTTCTACGTTGAAAAGAAAGTTACTATAAATATTTTTAAGTCATAATTTTATCAGCTTAACAAGCAGAACGGTAAATGGCTCTAATGTAGAATTGGGTGCCCCTTCGATTACCAACAATTTTTTTTTTTTTAATTTTGGCGATGGAACTTCACTTCTGGTTCCCATGATAGTTTTAACTTTGTTTTAGCTTCTGAAAATAGATTGATGAGTATATGGACAAATTTAAGGCAGTGCGCAATGCCTAGTTTGTGCAATTCTAGGATGTTTTTTTAAGTGAAAACAGATCGATGTGTACATGGACCCAGAGTTTATGCAATTCTTTGACTTCTTATTTTGGTTTTGTGTAGCGGCCATCTTGAAATTGTGCCTTCCTGGCGCCGATCTTGGCGTCAAAAAACAATCGCCAAAAAACAAGGTGCACCCAATTGTAAACATTTACCCAGTTAATTAATGAATGAAATAATAATTAAAGATGAAATGGGCATTTCATAACTAATTAAAAATAAACAAAGTTTCCGCATTTTCAACACATCTACCACAGCACAAGCTTGTTTCTTTACATTAGCAGTTCTTACATCACGTGACCTCCGACGTCACCGGAATGCATCTCATTGAAGAGTTAGGTTTGGAGGCAACTTTCCCTTGATAAATCTGTCTCCTGACTGCTCAACAATTATTCACTTATGAAATTTTCTGGAATACTAAATTTTTGGAACAGTATATGTTTCATAATTTTAGATACGTGCAATTAATTTTGCTCTTAGAATTTAAATGATATTGGAAATTAGTCTGCTCTTAGATTTTTAAATGATATTGTAAATTATTTCTCAGCAATAACAATTATTTTTATTTTTATTTCTTTGCAATTTATATTTTTAATTAAATTTTATTTTTATATTTGCTTTATACGAATAGAGAATATTTGTTAAATTAAAAATTTTCCTGTCTTTGATTTACCGGAAGTCGTCATCTATTATATATATCGATGACTTTCGATTAAAATTTATTCATGCAGCTTTTCTGAAAATTTTGTTTTTATAATCAAGGAGGTTAGAATACAGGGAGATGCCCTGCGCGCAGTCCAAGTGAAGCCAAAAAGTGGGGGAAAGCATGCCCCTTAGTAGTCGTGGCTTTAGAAAGATTGACTCCTCTTCAGCCATGAGGCAGAGCCTAGCCACACCCAGTTTCGTAAATTAAAGACCGTGGATTCTTCGCGCGCTTTTTCCTTCACTTTTTCCCGCCATTTCATTTTATTTCTACATTTTCTATCATCTTGTAGACGGCTGCAATATTGTTCCGAGAAGCAATTTTTATTCCTGCCAAAATGGTAAATTCCTGCGTCGCTTTCGGCTGTACAAATAGCAGAATAGCAGCATCCGGTATTACATTTCACAGGTAAATATTCTTTTAACATATATACTATCATTTATTTAATTATACTTTGCTCAAAGTTAGATAAAAGTTTGCTGTGCATGTTTAAAACATATCCAAGGAAACGGCTGCAAGTGCTGATAATTGTATCAATTCTAATGATTATCAGGATATGCAGAGGGAAAATATATGTACAAAGGGACTGATTCCATTAAAATGAGTTAAATGAGAAATGCATTATGTAATTACATGCTGTCATTAATGAATGCTAGCAATAAAGGTATTGTGAAAATAAATAAATAAATACTCAAACCATTAATTTGATTATATTTTAGTTATTCTAAATATATACAGGTATAATTCTCAATTTTCCATGTTATAAATACTACGTACGTTTTGAAAAATATTAAATTGCATGAACAATGATAAAAAATAGTATTTAAATTCTGCATTGTTATTTTTAAAACTCCCACAAATTTCACCCCAAATTAAATCCTGTTATTAAATATTTACTTGAACAGAAAATAAAATTAAATACATAAAATATGACTTGTAATATAATATGATCACACCTTTAAAATGACGCGTTTTCTTTTCCAGGATGAGCTGCTGACCACTCCCTCCCCCTTCCCTTGTTTACTTACCGTTTTGCTTTTACAACTCAGTTAATTACGAGTATAATACTCAAACCATTAATTGAAGAAAAATCTGAGAATTATAGATGTTTCTTCGCGCACGTCAACACCGAGAAAATCAACTCAAACTCTTTTCTGACGGCTTTTCAAACGCACATTTCAATTATTCTACTTATTTATGCATGTTAAAAAAACATTCTTTTATATGGAAATGAAATCCGAAATGTAGACATTATTTCAATGTAACCATTCAGTACCTTATAACCCTCTCACGTCTTCACATAGAAATCAGAAAACACACTCAAAACTTCAAACAAGCTGACGTTTAACCTCACTTCACATAGTAAGGGAAGCGTTTTCTTGCCCTCACGAGGCGTGGCTTATTTGCTTCCCCCGGCTTCACTCTCCTCGTATTGCGACAGCAGAGACGCCATCTCCATGTATTCTAACCTCCTTGTTTATAATAGTGAGTGTTAAATTGTTATTTCCTGGTTGAGATTGCTATTGAAGTTCCATCGTAGTAAATTTGAGTGACCATTTGGACCATAAAAAGTTTGATCCGGACTTTGCTTTTCTGGTTTATTGGTCAGGTAAAACATCAAAGAGCTTAAAATTGTATATGAATTGTTCTTTTGAATTGCGATAAATTTAAGTATTTTGTGATATATAATTAGTCTCTTAAATTACGATGATGCATTTAATTATTATTAAGGCTTAATAATACTACAAATATGTATATTTACATGCGGTATATTATAATATCGAAATAAAGGTCTGTCTTGTAAGGAATGTATTCGTTCTTATGTACAACTCGTGATCGTTTATTCTGCTATCCGTAAGTCGCTACAAATTATGAATTTATTATTTTATTTTGACTTATTGACGCAGATTTTCGGTGTCAGGTATTCCTTTGTTAAATTATATATTTATTCATTCACTTTAAAGAATTTAACTTTGAGAAGTTGCAGATAAATTTTTTAATGAGGCTACAAACATATTTCTCATTTGTTTTCAAATTTGGTGAAATTAAATATATTTAGCTTACATTTTGGTATGGGTTGTATGTTTTGTTACAATGCCGGCCATTTTCTAGAAAATGAAATTTTGGAATATAATAATTTTAATTTGTTCATGTGTCGGATTAAAAAGTCAGATTATTTTATTATAATTTAAAAAATAACTGATATGTATAACACAAAGGATAAGTAAATTCATTACATTGCATTAAAAACAGTATTTGAAATTTTGGTTGATCTTTGCATTATGGTAACTTGGCGATTTTTTGGCGAAAATTTGGCAACCAACTCTCCTACAGCAACCCTCTATTTTTTTTCCCGCCGCCATTTTGTCTTCACGAAGTAAAGACATGTTTCTTTTCTTTTTATCTACTGAACACTTTTTCCAACAATCTAGTAGCCGAATTATACTTATGCTAGAAATTTTTATCAAACAAACTGCTTAATCATGACAAATATTCACTGCAAAATTGGGAAAAAGTGCACAATACCATACTCCTTACGCGTTTTTCAAAATAACACATACTCATAAACCATGTAACACGGCGACTTATTTTTACTTAAAAAAAACATCCCAGAATTGCACAAAAAAATGGCATTGCGCACACACTCTTCACTATATCCATGTACACTGCTTTTTTTCTCATAAATTAGAAAAATTTCACGAAAATACATGACAATTTTCTCAATCTTTAAACCCGGTAAAAAGAACATATATGAAATTACCTGCCTGATCGCGAAAAAGTATTTATCCTTTACAAATATGAACATTTCCACATATAAAATAAATAAAATATCCAAAAACTTTTACCTCTAAATCATCTATTACATTATACACGTCTCCAACGAATTCATACCGCAAGCATTACAAATACTTAGTATCAAATATTTAAATTATTTCCATGCACGTTTATTTCAACTTAAACGTATACCAAATTCCTACAAACGTAAAATTCACAAAATAACTATCATTTCATTAAAATATAATTAAATTCAAAAACACTACTTAAAATATAAATGAGGACATACATTAAATTAATAAAAATTACCTTACAATCCTAATTACTTTAAACTAAATCATTGCTAATAACAATTTTCCCAATAATACCAAATTCCTTTCCACCTTACATTTAGAACAATGCATAAAAATAATATCCTCAAATAATTAAAAATACTAACTTACTTAATCTTCTTCAGAATCTTGATTACGTGGCGGATACACTTTTCTAATTCATTCAATAAAATTATTGAAAGATTTTTTCTGCGAATTTTTCTTCCATACTTCCTCCGCTAAATAAAAAGCAAACTTCTCTTTATCACAATGCCTAAATACCCATTTCTAATTCACTTTAGTTAGGGCCATGGGATCCAAAAATTAAACAAAACTGTTTCACACAACACAGAATAAAGCTAAATACAAAATTTCCACATTTTTTCCCGATTTCCCCCCTTTTCCGATTAAAGAACCGTAATTCTTCCATTAATATCCCATGACATATCCCATGATCTCTCATTTCCCTCACGCAAAATAATGCGTAATCTGAGTACTGCTCACATTATTACCAAAGTCCCAGGTAGTAACCTTTATCGCCTCCAAAATGTCGCCAAACTACCAGTTACCATATTGTAAAAATCAACCGAAATTTTTTGTTCTGCACATACATTAGTAACTGTGAAAATTAGATGTTGCTTGCTTATACTAATAGTATCCTATATTTGCAACTATGTAGAGCAGAAAAGAAATATTTATACAGTGCAACCTTGGCACGATTTTGAAAACTATTGCCAACACCCAAAATGACCCAAAGATGTATGTACTATATACTTTATACTATCACTATATACATAGTATATACTATATATAACTATATATATTCTGTGAATGACCCGTTTACTACTCATCGTGTATGTTCCGTTTTTACTGCTCATCATAAAGTCGCCAAAAGTATCCAAATCCTGTGTGCACCGGATACTAGGATTAAACCGAAATATTTTTCGAATATACCTGGTGTGTTAAAATCACAATTTTAATTTATCAAGAAATTTATTGAAATGAGTTTAACTGTCTAACTTGTTTTTATTTGATTGTGGCAAAAATGTAATAAAAACGTGCCTTTTAGCACTTGACTCGCGTTCTTATAAGCTTGCTTCAAAATGCCAATAAATTGTTTATCATTTAGGAAGTACACTGGTTATCATAAATTAAGTAAAAATCACAATAGCGATAACTCCCTCAAAAATAAGCCAAATCGTGTAAAATTTGAATATGTTGCCAAGTAAGAGTAGCTGAGTAAAACTCCAATATGCAAATTAGTGGCGTTGCACTTGGAATACGTCATCTGCGAGGAGCATAAAAGTCCATGTTTGAGAGCAAGCCCACATATTTCACTGTGATAGTGACATAAGAAATCTGAGATAGCCGATTCGTAACAATGATCTACAGGCATCATTTGCCTGCCGAACTACTATAGAAAGCCATTGGGAGACTAGAGGCAGGACAAGTCAAACAGAAGTAGCCAGATGGCTAAATGGGAGTCCTTCTGTGGTTCATAGATTTTGGGGGCAATTTCAAACCACAGATTCGACATCTAGGTGGTTCAGCCAAGGATGGCCAACTGCTACGACGAGCGCCGATGACCAATATTTGACATTATGTGCACTCAAGAATGGAACCGCTACTCTGACTGTTCTTAGATCGTCCCTTGCTACAACCACTGGAAGGTTGGTGTCAACGTCAACTGTGCGTAGAAGACTTCACGAAGGTGGTCTGTATGCGAGGTGAACAACCATTTGCGTGCCACTTAAGTCACGCCATAGCAGGGACCGTTTTGAGTGGGCACAACAACATGTCCACTGGACAACGTCTGAGAAATGGAGGGCTATTCTCTTTACAGATGAGTCCCAAGTTTAGTCTAGAATGCGATAGTAGGTGTTATTTGATATGGTGGGAACCTGGAACCCGTTATCATCCATCAAACATCCATGAAAGAGATGCATACGGAAGAGGCAGTGTCTGTGTTTGGGGTGGCATCTCTTTGGGTGGACGCACAGACCTCCATGTTTTTCCAAGGGGAACCGTGAATGCTCATGTTTATAGAGATGACATCCTTGATGCTTAAATTCGCCCATATGCTGGGGTAATTGGTGATGTTTTCCTGTTATAGGATGACAATGCAGGACCACACAGGGCTCGCATCGTATATGATTATCTTCAAAAGAAACAATTATGCGCATGGAGTGGCCAGCTTGATCTCCGGACTTGAATCCTATCAAGCACGTTTGGGATGCTTTAGGGAGACGTCTAATTGCTCTCAATCCGCCCCCTTAGACCCTTGCCACGCTTGCAACTGTTTGCAAGAGCAATGGCTCTCGCTTCCTATGGAACTGATAGACCACAAAATTGAAAGCATCGCACATCACTGAATGTGCTGTATTGCTTCTAGAAGTGATTTTATTCCATATTGAATGTGCTCTTACTATAGCAAACTGACATCTTCGATTTTTTTTTCATTTTATACATGTGCTAATTTCTATACTACCATAATTGTCTGATAATTTCTTTTTATGTTATTTGATACCTTATTTTGTGTTGTATGTTTTGGGTAAGTTTCATAAAATTCTACATGTAACTTTTTCAGTAATCGTGATTTTTCCTTAATTTATGATGACCAGTGTAGTAACTTTTCTTATCCTGTTTGCTAATCTTTTATTTTCATATTTATATTCAAATTAACTGGTTAATTCGCAAAGTGCTGCTGCTTACGGAAACGTGTGAGAAATCACTGTCAAATTCTGAATTTGATAGTAAGCATGTTATTAAATTCAGTAAATTTTTTAAACACTTTATCCTTAAATTTATAGTTTTATTGCCTGATTCTTCTATTTGTCAACATAAGCTTAGGTAATTTATTATTACAACAAACTCGGATTACTTTGTTTTCTTCTTCATTTTCAGTTGGGGAAAAATATTATGCAGTGTAGATTAAAGCTTCCTGTTGAACCCCTTCTTTTTATGATTCTGTATTTTCTAAATGCTAAGAAACATGAAATTAAATTTACATTAATTTATGGTTTCGACTAAGTGCACAATCGCCCACTTATTTGTTTAGCGCTTTTTGCAAGAGTAAGAAGAATTGGATTTTTGTCTATTTTCTTTGACTTATTAAGTGAAAATAGATCGATGTGTATATGGATAAAGTCGAGGGAGTACACAATACCATTTTTATGAAATTCTGGGATGTTTTTTCAAGTGAAAATAGGTCGATGTGTACATGGTTACTGAGTATGTGCAATTCTTAAAAACGTGCCAAGCAGTGTGCGATTCTGCACTTTCCCTGTGGTTTCTACATGTTGGAGAACTTAAATCATTCAGCCTATCTTTGTCTTATTTACAAGTTTTGTATTTATGATACTACAACTAATATATAAAGCATTTAAATGGATTTAACATTGATCTACATATTTACGAACCATCTTGTAAGTGATTACAGATTGTTTGAATTAGCTTCCATGAGAAACCATTGCTGGAATTGGGGCATTTTGTTGCCTACTAAGACTATCTGTTGACAGCACAC